AGAGAGAGAGAGAGAGAGAGAGAGAGAGAGAGAGAGAGAGAGAGAGAGAGAAACAGTCTGTATGAGTGTATGTGTTGTTTAGCTCAAATGAGATGATTTCAAGAAAGAAAGTAACGACAACAGCAGCCTGATCCATCATCAATGTGACATTGATATCGTAAGACACTCGCTACTCAACCAACGACGTTTCAAACTTACCAGGTCACCGTCGAGTTCTTCTATCTGGTCAAGCCGGAGAGACAGCAAACCAGCCCCAATCTGCCGGATGTCGTCTGTTGACACCGACCCGGCCAGAAGCTCATCAACTCTTTCTCTGAGAGCATATCGCAGACGTGGGTTGCCTCCCCTCCTTGCAGCCAGGCGGCCAAAATGGTGCATGCTATGACGAAAAGTTGAAATAAAATGTGAGGCAACGTGGTGGAATCAGGCTCTCTTCAAAATAATCAAAGTGAAGAAACTTGCATTTTTCTGCAGGTTTTTGCATTTTGATCAAATTTGTGTTTTTCGGCTCAACGCCTTTCAAGCCCATTAAAGAACTCATTTCTGCGTGGATTTTTCTGAAAAAAAAGTTGATTAAAGGCACAAAAAATGTAAATTTTCAGTTACCACGGACTCTTAAGCTAAGGAAATAATTAATCTTTGGCGGCCATTTTCTCAGTAATTTTACCTCTGAAAACAGGTGATCCCCACCTCATTCATTCACAAATATCTCGACTTGTATTCAAGATAAATGGATGTTTTTTCATCCAAATAAAGACAAGTGAACAAGCTTTAAGATGATTTCAATAACTCTACATGCCCAAAATTGACGAGAGCCTGATTCCACCACGCTGCCTCACAAATTTTAAAGCTCAATATTATAGCCACAGAACATCTACCAATTATTGACAGTGAAGTCAAGAAAAAAGATGGCGGTGGATTTGGCGCACGTTTAGGAAGCCAGCCCACAATATGAAAAGACCAAGCTTTAGATGGAATCCTCAGGGGAGAAGGAAGGGGGGTTGGCCGTCATCTACCAGGGTACAAGATCCGACAAAATCTGGGGGCAGATCTCAGGAAAATGGAGCGCGGCGGGGGGGGGCGGAGGGGGGAGGGAGGGGAGAAGATAGTCCAAAACAGAGACAGATGGAGATCCCTTCAATTCTAGGCGGTTTATGTCCAATACAATGGTGAAAGTGACAGATGGTGATGGTGATGGTGATGATGATGATGATGATGATGATGATGATGATGATGATGATGATGATGATGATGATGATGATGATGATGATGATGACATAGTTTTTCTCTCAGTTGCTCCTGAGGAAGCCCACGGGGCGAAACGTTGAGCTATTAAACAAATTTAAACATTCTATATTGTTATTTTATTTTTGTCTAAAATTAAAACAAGACTCTCCCTCCTACCCTGCTTACCAAAAAATGATGATGATGGTGATGATGATGATGGTGATGATGATGATGATGATGATGATGATGATGATGATTGAAAAATGTTTATGTTATAGGCCACTTGGGCTTGTTTGATTTTTATCAGATTGGAATGGATACCTTTTATAAGTGCGTGCGTGTGTGTGTGTGTGTGTGTGTATGTGTATGTGTGTATGTGTGTATGTGTGTATGTATGTGTGAGCTTGTGTGAGTTTGTGTGTGCATGTGTATGAGTGTGTGTGTATGTGTGTGTGTGAGTGTGGGTGTATGTGTTTAGGTGTGTGTATGTGTGCTTGTGTGTGTGTGAGTGTGTGTGTGTGTGTGTGAGAGTGTATGTGCATGTGTGTATGTGTGTGTGAGAGTGTGAGTCTGTGTGTTTTGTGAGTGTGTGTGAGTGTGTGTATGTATGTGTATGTGTGTATGTGTTTTGTATGTATGTGTGTGTTTGTGTGAGTTTGTGTTTGTATGTGTGTGAGTGTGTGTGTATGTGTGAGTATGTGTGTGAGTGTGTGTGTATGTGTGTGTATGTATGTGTGTATGTGTGTTTGTGAGTGTGTGTGTATGAGTGTGTATGTGTGTATGTGTGTATGTGTGTGAGGGTGCGAGTCTGTGTGTTTTTGTGAGTGTGTGTGCGTGTGTGTGTGTGTGGTATATAATACAATACCCATACTCACTTCCTCTGAAGTAGTTCTGAGGGAAGATCGTCCAACAAATCGTCATCGATGACGTCAGGTGCCAGTCTGACAATTTTGTTGATGTCGTCGTCAGTCCATTCCTCTTTGGGCTTTCCTCTGTATCGCCTCAAGATAGCCATTTGGTGAGACTCATCTAGATGCTATGTGCGCAGAGGTAAAAGGGAGAAAATGAGTGGTGTAATCGTAACAATAAATGTGCTTTTTACGGAAAAAGTATAGCATTGACAAGAGAAAAACGTTTAGCACTGACGAGAGGAAAACGTATAGCAGTGACTTAGCGCACAATATTAGTTGCTCGTTATAGGGTATTTCATCTTTCTTGAATTACATGTAAAGCGTGGATACGTTTTTACATAGCTATACATATACATGGCTTTGATAAGAAACCCAGTGAACAAGGTATCGTATGGAGAATCACACGGGGAAAATGGACTAGGCTTGTTTTTCTTTGGGCAATAAATTTCGAGTAGTTACTCAATCGTACTCTTGTAAAGAATTGAATCTTCTGAAAGGGCGTTTTACTTTGTCTTGTTGTCAGTTGTTTTGTTTGTACAATAAAAAGTATTTTACGAGTAAAATTGTGGAAAATTAGAGCTAACACTATTGAAGGCAAAAGACGATAGACACCAGATACAATGGTGATACGAGAAGCTGGGGAGTGTGGTGTATAACTGTTACAAAGCAAAATATACGAGTATTAAGCAAAGAATAGATGGCAGTGCTGTGTTAATTTGCAAGCTTTTGTGCGTCTGTAGTGGGTTAAAAAGCGAGGTACATTATGGCAGGGCATATCTCCCCTTCCCAACCCCCCTTTCACTCTCTCTCTCTCTCTCTCTC